ATTCAATCTAAATCCATTGTTACTATAGTCCTACCTAGACTGAATTAGCATTCCTTCTTTATCCCTTGTATGGCACACTTTCCCATTCTAGAGTTACCATTCAATCGGTAATAAGGACTCTTAAGATCTCCCAGACTTGGAGAGCAATTACCTTATCCTGAAATTAATGACTAGAGTGGAAAGACTCCCTTTGGAGTAGGCAATAAAAACGAGCCTAAACTCCACGCTCACTTTCACAAGTGAAGAGACCAGAGATAACAGCTACCTATTGCTCTTTTCTTCAGAAGTCTATAAAAAGTTCTGAAAAAAATTTTCTTAATTTCCAATTTGCTCTCAGTATCCTCTAACCCTATGCAAAAACAAGCAGGTGTCATACTTTCTTTGGAAAACACTGTAGAAAGCTCTACCTATGAAAGCTTTCCCACTACTCCCACTGTTTCTTTCTTAAATTAGTGATCTCAATAGCCAGTGGAACTGAGGCAGACATAGACAAAGATCAGTTAGCGGTAGATTAATTTCCTGTTTGCATGTCTTCATGAGAACTCCAGAAGTTGTGAATAGACATAATAAGAAAGGCCAAATCCTGAAAGAAGTCTGGAGAATCTGCAGCAGTATTAGCTAAACCATACAATAAACTAATATCCACACCATGTCATTCGTTTCAAAAATTCACCCAGAGCAAAACAGAATGGGTGTTCCCTTCACGAAAGAAATATATCTCCTCTGTAGGAATCTTCTTCCTTGAGAAGAAAAGGAATGAGTATTTTGGGCGCAGATGTGAAGCTACTTTAAGCAATCAGACAGAAGTGATTTCCAGTATTCCCTTGTCCTCTGCTTTTATAATTTTCTATTGAAGCATCCCAAAACTCTAAAAGGCACAAGAAAGAGAAACTAGTCTTATGGAAGCAGCTGATGAATATCTCTCAAGGATTCTGTCAAAGTCATTTAATAAGGACAGCAATGGTGATAGAAAACAGGGCATAGTACATCTTCTTTACAGCGCCTTCTAATCCTTTTGTAGCTATTTCTAGAAATCACTTATTAAAAATGCGTAGAGCAGGCCACTTGGAAATCAACCGTTTGCCACCAAGCTTTTCCTCATCGAAGGCACCCGTGTTTCTATGGAGTCCTGGAATGACATCTAAGCTTTCAGAACACTGAGAAACGGGAGAAGGAGAAAAAAAGTAATTCATCTTTTCTTATCAGGGAAACTGTTGCTCTTCATCAGCAAATCTGCCATCACTGTTGACACTTCTGTTGAAATACAGGAATGCAGAAAATATTTTAGAAGTTTCATTTCTATAGCAATCACAATAGATGGCAAGGCATAATGGCTGGATGAAGATGTAAACAAAACTTAGGTTCCTTACAATTGTCAGAAATTGCTCCTTGCTTTCCTGAGGCAACACGTCAATACATTAAATCTGCTTCAATTAATATACTTATTAAATATACTTATTTGTTATTTGAAAAACAGAATTGCAAACAAAATGACAAATAACTCTTCCCCTCAAAAGGTCGTTTTCTCTTTTTTTCCCCCCAGTATCTTTACAAAGCAGTAGTGATTTCATTAGCATTGTTCATTCTTTCCATCAGTCCTCCAGACAACCGAAGAATCTGAGATGGAAAGTGAGCAAGTCTTTTGCTGGAATAAAATACTTCCCTTCTGTTCTCTTTGAAATAAATGTAATAGCATTAATGGCAGGAATCTGCCATGCTGTTTTGGCATGCTCTACCACTTCATCATTAACAGAAAAATAGCTTTATTAGAAAAGTTATTTTGGAACACATATAGGAACTGTGGGGAAAGTGGAGTAAGGAATCTCATGTACCTTCTCCTGTATGAAGTATACTATTTCTATAATCCTCTTGCTTAATTCCTGCAAGGATTTTAAATCACTGGGATACAGAACTGAGCTGACACAACTGCTTCATATAGAGAATGACAGGACTCCAGGTAACAAGAGTTTTCACATTCCTTTAAGCCTTCATCCTATTATTCCTGAATACAATGTACTTCATAGAAAATATCTTTTAACTTCATACAAGATGCCTCAAGTACTTATGATATGGAAGCAGATCCAATCTAGTCATAGCAATCACCTAGTACCTGTAAATATGTTCTATTGAGAAAGAATGCCAAAACTCTGTTACTGCAATGATCCCTCTATACTACTGGAACCTTTTATACACAACTCCTATCAAGGCCAAACTCAACAAACTATATTGGAAGGATAGGTTTGTGATAGCTTTCAACAGCCTCGTCAGATGAAGAATGACATCTCTGAACTCAGAAAAGGATATAGATCAAGGTCTGCCTGACTATGCGAATACTGAACCAATGTGTTTATCGGCCTAAGTCTCATCAATGAGTCCAAATGCATGAGAACAGCTGAGATTACCTAGAGTCATTCCATCATGTGATGGCATGAACTGCATGGGCTGATATAGATGAGGGACCTTTGTCCTTTACTAAAGAGAAAGCATTTTGTATTATTTTTGTGTATATTGCAGGTATGTGTGATACTCTTAAGCCATATAAGCATCTAAATGTTAGTGAACCTTGGTGCAAGGGTATAAAGCAGCACAGGCAGCATCTCTTAGGCAGCGTTGGCAAAAATCATCTCTCAAGTACAGAGAAAGCATGCGCAACCCTCAGGGGAAAACAAAGATGCACCATTCAAAAATACAGATCTTGCATTCAACACAGAAAGAGGGAGGAATATTATGTTACTCTTCTATTTTGGAGAAAACTAGTCAGAACAAGATTGGAAAGAATTTTTTAATGTTATCTTAAGGCCAGTAATTTGAGATCTAATTTAAGTGATGAGTGAGATTAAACTACCTCTAGTATTATTCTCCCTAGTTCAAACATGGATATGACAAGCTACATGCATTAACATTCCATCTTTTATGGTTAGAATCACTAATATCTTAGCTATCGCGTTAAGAGTCAAAGTAGTAAATAACAGGTCATAAAGAGATTAAGGCAGCAGAGCTTATGTAAAATGAATCTTGACGACCTATTCTTCAAATACCATTATGCATATTTGAAGAATATAAAATTGAAAATATATAATTTTCCCCTTTCAACATTTTACATTTTCTAAAACTCCTCTTACACAGAGAAAACGAACTGAAAATGTCCTATAAGACTTCATGTTGCAACGAGCAATCTTTTCAGTAATAGACTTTTTCTGCTGTTCCTAGGAATATTTCAACACAGAAGCCAGTCATTCTCAAAAATTATCCAGATAATCAAGCTAAATCATGACATTTTGTGGTTCAGGCTACCAGAAAACTCAATGATTACGTACACAAAGCCACATGAATGGGTGATTGCAAAAAGCACCAGTAACAAAAACCCAAAATCAAAATTTTGCAAAGCTTTCAAGCTTACAAAGGCGAAGTATGTAATCTTGAACAGATAGCAGGTATGTATAATGAGTTAGCTGTTCAATCACACCTGCAAGTTTTAAAATTATGACTCAGAAGTAAGGTCATTCTTTCCAATTAGTAAAAGTATCAATTGACTCTTATTACAGACACTTGGATATCATTAACTAACTACCCATTTCAATGGCAACACTAAAGTACTTCACACTACACCTTTATTAATGTGACTAAAAGTCAAATTACAGTAACTTACGTAGTATGATAATCCATACAGTCTTTACCTAAAAAGTCTTTTGGGTCACTGATTTTAATGGGAGAAAATTATTTTCCACTGAAGCATTCTCCTTGGTTCTTTACTTTCCTTCACCATCACTTCTCATTGCTGAGCCTATTTTCTCATTTTCCCTCCCTCCATACTCACTAAACTTTTTCTTTGTGCCCACAAGTCTCCAGTCTTTCAGAATCTGTCTTTTTTTTCTTTTTTAGATCCTGCTTTCAGTTTTATATTAAAGTGCTACAATAGTTCTGCTATGTATCATTTGCTGTAACAGCCTTAACAAACAACATTCTCTGAACTATTCAGTACCTTCATCAAGTTACTAAATGGAAGGCATTTCATTTTATAAAGTTAAGAACATACTCCTTAATACCAGAGCTGCTTAAGAATATCCAGGGAAATAATTTTTTCCTAAGCATAAAAACATGCCTGAAAGAAGATATCTACTGGAAAACATTTGTATTTAATAGTGACCAAGTGTTTACACCATGTGTTTTGAAAATGAACTGTTATTCATTCTTTGTTGTAAAGACTATCAGATCTGTCAATGTTATTAGTACAAAATGTTTTTTGTCCAACTACTAACGCAGCAACTGATACACCTACTGAACATGGTGCCATGGACTATTCCTCCCTGTAAAACAATTCAGATCTGAATCGAGAAACAAAAAAAAAAGGCTTAGTTGTGAATTACAGAATGGATGTAATAACCTAGGTTCAGTAAAAACAGACTGTATGCATATAAGTCTCATTAATCTCTTACACCAGTTCAGTTGTCAAAAAAAAAAAAAAAAAAAAAAAAAGAGAGATTAAAAAAAAAAAATCAAAGCCACAAAAAAATTCCGCCTCTATTGCCAACGACTTTAAGCCTGGTTTTTATGTATGATCACACATTTCCCCAATACCAGAACTGAAAACACAGCTCTACTCATCTGTGGAGCTAAGGGAAGAATGTATAGCACCTTAAAACAGCAGGCTTGAACAGTGAAAGCAAACACACTGAATTTAAACTTGAGTATTCTATATGCAATTGTTGGAAGACTTAGTTTTGAAATGTTAATAATCAAAAAAAAATTAAAGTTATTTCATATCAAGCAACTTCCTACCAACAATTTTCAGATAAATTAGTTTTTTGAGTGTAGAAACTTCCTAAGAACGGGAGCATAAACTTTTTTTCCTAATAATCTAAACATATTTTTGTTTTAATGCATAAATAGTGCTACCTTCAAATTCCATCAATTTAAACATTTTGATACTTGCACAACTGAATATCTAGGAAGAGGGTTGTGTGGAAGGCGCACATTACCATAACTCAAGCAATACCGACCTTTCTCCTCTCAGTGGAAGTAAAATTTTTCCTGCTGTCTCTTTTAGAAAGTCTTCCCTCTCCAATGTGCTGATACGCTCATTACAAATTAATTGTCTACTTTCACTATTAAACAGTGTGTACGACTTTTGCTCTGCTAAGCAGTTATTACTTCTGCAAAGATTATTCACCATAGCTGGTTCTTCAGAATCTAGCTTCTCTTCATCTGAAATAGCCAAAGAGAACACAGTTTGGAGAAGCATTCTTACACAATAAATACACACGACGGAGCTCAAAATTAATTACTGTTTATCATGTTACATTATCAAAACTTGTTTGTATCAATTTAAAAGGTGAAAAAGCTTAACACTATTTAGAGCAAAGTGGTCAAAGTTGTCTTACGAATATCATTTCTTAAAGTCAGTTTTGTATTTTAACATCTTAATCCTTCACCTTTTTTTTATTTCCCTTTTACAGATAAGTGGATTGTACCTTGTGAAAGAAGTGATTATATTTTAGGATCTGAATATTATGAAAGAACTCAAGCAAAAGGTAGCTGTTAATCGTGTACCTTGGTATGTAAACATAATAAGAACCTGCACAAAAAAAAACTATGTAAACATTTACATGATCCCCAAAGGGGAGAAGCAGCAAACTCAGGCTATAACTACATTAGGTCCTCAACTTCTCCAATTAGTAACATCAACCTATTAAGGCTAATAGATTAAACTACATATAGCGGTACATGATATAAACATATATTTATAGAATATGCATAATAATGAAGTAAAGTTTAGTACTTTTTGTATAAAACTTATTTTGCAATAAGGTAAAAAGTGAGATATTCAGTTTATCATGTAAAGTAATGATCCCAGGCAATGTAAGAGTTGTCATCATTACAAATAAGTCTTTATTAAAGACAAGAGTTCCAGCACATTTTATTATGAGCCAATGCGCAGGAAACCAAGATGTGAAGTCATTTCCCATCTGCAAGAAAATTACTTTTAAATCCCACATTTAGCGACCTTTAAGTCTCCACTAATGAAACACGATGTAGTTGGAGGCCATATCATTCCTTTATAGTCCTCCACCTATGCTCAATAACCCATCAGGGAACCTCCTTAGATGATGCCATCTCATTACCTCTTTAAACATTTCAGCATTCAATGTTAATTTTACCCATTGAAAAAAACTTCAGTAAAAATTCCATTACTTAGAAATCTATAGGAAAAAAAGGCACCTGAGCAACTTTCAGAAGTGAAAGACAGTATCATTTTTGGAAATCACATTTTCAAAACTGTCCTAAACCATTTAAATATTTTTAAAATTTACTCTGAAAGGACATGCACGTCTTTTAATAGAATGTAATAATTCATGTAAATAACGATATTAAAAGATATCATGCAGTTATTTTTCTAGAAAATAAGAAGTATCAAAACATTCTTACTGTGATCAGGAGGAACCGTTTTAGCAGAAACGAAACTTCCCTGAGAAGTTCTTCTAAATAAGTGTGCCCGAGCACTGCTGACTCTTCTAACCTCTGCAGTAGTGGCAGGAGGTTTTGGAAGGGTAGTGGAAGAATCTTCATCTTTTGCAAAAGTCACTAGTATTGGTTTCTGTTGCAAAGAAAAAGACGACATTTTCATAAAAGCATATATAATTTCATTTTCATACAAGCAAAAATTAAAAAAACCCAACAAATGGTTTATACAAAGGTTTGAGTTCAGAATAGAATATATAAAAGTTATATAGGTTTACTCATTAAGAAATTTTCATTTTCACAAGCAGAACGTAATGATACCATTCCACTGAACAAGCCAGATATCTATACCATTATCACCACAGAAAGCCATTTAAAAGCAAACATTCAGGGGTGCAAAAACCAAACAAAAGCTAGCCTGAGTAGAGCAACTGAAACTCAGAATTATTTGTTCTCCTCACAGATACTCATTTAACATCATCTGCAGTACGTTTATTTGTCAAAAAAAATGTTGTGCCAAAGACTGGCACTAGCAATTCTAGAGGCACATCTATTCTTTCTGATTGGTTTTTGAGCACTAAAGTACTGTTTCCAAAACACTTCAAATGTGTTCAGATCATATGCACCACTTCCTATCAGAGAGACCATTCATGCAGACCCAGAAATATGCAAGTTTTAGTTTTATTTATTTATCTGAGAGGATGTGACCAACCCCCTGAACCTCTGGTACAAAACACTTGTTGTGCCCTACACAAGGGCATTGCCCTCTGAGATCGAGGTTCTCTACCAACTTCCTTACAAAAAGAATCCATTAGAAAGTCCCCAGTACAATCCTCCAGAGCTGTCCCCCAATATTAGCTGAAGATAGCCAACAGGTGAGACCCATTCCCTACAACCACCGTGACTAATACAAGCTCTACGTTTACAGTGTACTAACTCATCTCTGTTGGTAGAGCAGAAAAAAATGGTTTTGCATTGGTCTTAAGAGTAGTTTTCTCTATTTTTCTCCCACTCTTTCACACAAGACAAATGAAATTTTAACACCAGCAGTTAAATCCAACTGTAGATATATTTAATCTAAATGCAAGTATGGCCAGAATTTTTTCCCTTTGATTCATATAAATATATTATGTTATTGAAAATACTGAAGTATAACATTTCTTGGAATTTTTTTCCCCCTAGTTTCCTAAATGTAGCATTCTTTAGATTACTCTCTTGAAGAAACAATATATAAAGCAAGCATACTTAACTATTTTAGCAAGCTCTGTTCTTTCAGGTACTAAACAAATGATCATGACTTAATCTTAAAGATTAAATATAAAAAACACGAAAGAGCAGACACACTCATAAATTGGAAACAATTCAAAATTTTCAGAGGGGAAAAAGAAGTTCTTACAAGTACCTCTGTTTTGTAAACACACATCTATAAAATGTAATGACTGTAGTTCAAGTCAAATAGAAAACACTATCAACCTAGTTACTTTCAATTTATAGATCACAGAACCACAGAACAGTTGAGGTTGGAAGGGACCTCTGGAGGTCATCTTGCCCAAGCCCCCTGCCCAAGTATGTCCAGGAAGCTTCTGAAGCTCTCTGGGCAACCTGTGCCAGGGCTTCGTCACCCCCAGGGCAGAAAAAGTGTTTCCTGAAGTTCAGAGGGAGTCTCTTGTGTTTCAGTTTGTGCCCATTGCCTCTGATCCTGTCACTGAAAAGAGCCTGGCCCCATCCTCTTTGCACCTTCTCTTCAGGTATTTATCTACATGCATTAAGATCCCACCCGAGGTTTCTCTTCTCCGGCTGAATGGCCTTGCCCCAGTCCATCATCTTTGTGGCCCTTCATTGGACTGTCTCCAGTTGCTCCATGTCTCTCTTGTCCTGGGGAGCCCAGAACTGGACACAGTACTCCAGGTGTGGCCTTACCAGTGCTGAGTAGAGGGGAAAGATCACTTTCCATAACCCTCTGGCAACACTCCTCTTAACGCAGCCCAGGATACCATTAACCACCTTCTTAGCGGCAAGGGCATGTTGCTGGCTCATGTTGATGCCCATGATTTTTTCTATTTTAGTAATCTTACACAAGAAAGCTGACTCAAGTATCCATCTTCTGATTCTTGTTAATGTCACTTAGAATTACAATGCTATATTTCAGCAATACCGAAATATTTTAAATTATTTTCAGGTTTCTTTGGGGGAAAAACTGAGAAAACTGACTTTATAAGTCTCAGAGTAACATTACAACAGGCTTCCATTTCTCCTCAACCTATTTAAACCATATCTTTTCCTAACACTACCAATACACATATTTTTATGTCAGTATTGCATGAGTTATTTCCAGATTACTCACATGATCCAGTGGGCTAAGACGAACACCAGACACGGGTCTTGATTCAGTCAAATCAAAACTGGATGCATGAAGACTAGCATAAAGAAATTAAACATAATATGAATAAAGAAGAGCCAGTGTTTTGTGGTGGGTTTTTATTTTTTAATTGCATACTTCTTCCCTTTGCCAATGAATATGGGGAAAAGGAGGAAGAAAGGAAGAGTGACAGAGCACTTTTACACTACCACTCTTCCTTCATTAATGCTATTTAACTTTGATACCTGGAATCCATCAGCACCAAGGGAGAAGAATTACAAGATTGCTTGCACACCTGCCATGATACACTTTATTTCACACACATCTATAACAATTCTCTAATATAAGCCTAAATTCATGCACAAGCCCAACTGTGGTTAGTGCCCAAGCTATATGACACAAGCTACAGAATGCTACAGTGTGGAAAACCCAGGTTTGCGCAGGCATGAGCATGCTCCTTCCTGTACACAGGAGAAGCACAGGCAGAACGAGCATGGATGTCAGCCAGAGGGACCTCATTACCTGGTCACCAACAAACAGCCAAGTCACTCTCAGGCTCTCACCTTCTGTAAGGGCACAGCACTACACAGTAAGGAACACTGGATACACTGAGTGCCTGAAGTCATGCTGCCATGAAAACAGCATGGACACTGACTTACTTGTATGGCCATTCAAACATGTTTCAGCATCCTTTCTGGCATGCCTGACACCTAACATTACAAATACAGCTCATATCTCCTCCCTACAGTCATTACAGAACTGGCATATAAGGAGAGCTAAAAACTTACTGGGAAAATTGATGGAAAAAATCCAACATACAAATTTTTTTTCTCTTTTGTCAGAAGGACAGATCTATTTAGCTCTGTAAATTATAGTATGTAACAGAACTCCACACAGAAACAATTCTAAAGTAGTATAAATTTTGTTTAAAAATGAGCATTTCAAACTTCAAGACCTACAATTTTATATTTAAAAAGACCTGAGAAAGCTCTGAAAAAAGATCTAGCATGCAGTTTACATAGAAACAAGCAAGCTTTTACAATTTCTAGGGGAAAAGCTTTAGACTATCTCAATTAAAAGCATATATTGTCTTAAGAAAAAGGTGAGATACAGACCATTTTTCTACACTATTCTCCACATACAAAACTAGTGTAATGGGTGCCTCTGGTAGCTCTAGTCCACAGGAACTTCCTGGACATGTAGATTAACACCAACAGTAAAGATCATTAGGAGGCGGCAAAAGACGTGATTAGGAATACAGATTAACACAGGCAAAAAAACCCACTGGAAACATAATTACAGAATCAAATCTCTTGCTGCTAAATGATATTTGAAAAAATCTTAAAGCCACAGTACCTGAAAACTGAAGGGGGTCTATTTTGAGGAGGACGTGAGGATCCAGATCCAAAAAGTTTCCTTTGATCCTCTGTAGGTGTAAATGGTCTCTGAGTTCTTAGTGTTCGTAGAACATTTCTGGCTTCATTTATAATCTCAGAACTGGTCTTCTGCTTTGGCACTGAAAGCCTGTAGAATGGTTCTGCCTTTTCGGTATTTTTATTCTTTGAAGCTTGCATTCCTCTGCAAAGTAGTGCACAGGAAGAACATTATACAGTACATATGGAAAGCACAGAATGTACACTAGTTTTAAACTACAAGCTATTAATTCATCAATGGTTATGCCACCGCCATGTAGTTAAAAAGGATATTATAAAAAAATCATACAGTGCCGAAGTAGTGGAAAATAAGGCTCGTTGATACTGTATTTCCTTCACTATTTCTCAGTTCTGTAGGAAAATACTGAAGAAGAACAGAAAGCATCTGACATGGAGGACCTTTAGTTTTTCAGAGGAAGCTAAAACACACCACACTCAGTACCACAGTGCTTTCTGCACCAAACCTGGTACTCTCCGATAATATGCTGTAAACAGACACTTTCTTTCCAATGAACTTAGGAAATACCCAATATAAGTTACTGACCTTACCAAGGACAGCTTCCTAATAAGTCAAAGAGATATATTATTATCAGTAACTGAAGCATAGTTATCAGTAGTTGATAAGCAGAGACAAGAACAAGCAATCAATTTTTTTCTCAGAGAGAAATGCCTCAGAAACCCTGCCCCAAGCACACACAAACAAAGATAACACTAATATAAGATAAATTAGCAACCCAAACTTTCAATCAGTGTTCTGTCCTTCTGCATCTTCTGGCAAACGCAGTGAGCAGTGAAAGACGTGCTCCATCATCTCTCAAGCCCACCAAATCAATCACTATCCTGGTGCAGTTCTCTGTAGATGCCATCCTTGTCATTCCACAGCAAACTCATCGTGAGCCTTAAACCTTCCAAAATTCTGCTTTTCAAACTTTCCTAAAAAGAAAAATATGTTTCTGCACTGTCTGTGACTCAGATCATCTGGTAACTTCTATTCTCTCACATAGTTTATGACAATGAACAAACAGTAGATTAGACACCACCACCTTGGTTATTTCTAAACTGTGGACCAAAAAATCCTATTTCTCTAGTTTCTTAGCTCACTTCTTCCTGTTCTGCATTTTTACATTTCCAACTGCCTCTTCTGTTCTTTCTTTGAGAGCCTGTATATTCTGGCATAGTTTCTTTAACTAATAGACAACCCAGCCCCTTCAGCTGAACTACACAAGATCAAATTGGATGGAGGAGTGCACCAACCTCTTTCACTAAAAGATGCATAATTACAAAACATGGGAACAGATCAGGAGCCTGAGCCTGTCAGTGTTTGTATTCTTTCCGATTACCACTAATACATTACTTTTCTTCACTGTGACTGAATTTGGCTACGCTCCCTACTCTTCCCTCTATTACAACATGATTCAAAAAGAGTTAAGTAAGGAATTCCACTGCAGCAGTTTATTTGGAGCACTTATACAGCCATTCCTCACTGAATAGGGAAGGTAGATTACCATTCCCTATTCTTCCAGCTACTGGGAGTCATGATTTTGACCTTTAAGTAGAAGGTCTTCTGCATAGATCATATGTCTGACGCAGTTATTATCCAGCATACATGGAAACAATTATCTGTGAATAAATACTAAAACATTATCAATATGATTCTACAAATCAGAAATTTGAATTAATTCACATTCATTCTTTTCTGGTCTATGTATCTCCATCCACCTTGCTAAATTTTAAAATAAATCTTCTCAAGTAATCTAATACCTTTCATTTAATCTCTGAAGGACACTGTTTTCTTTAGTTCTTAAAATCTCTGTGCTCTGGCATTGAAATGTGTATTTTATGGGATCTACATATATGTTCTTCACAGTTAAACTAAGCAGCAACCCAAGAGATAGGATGTGTTTCTGTGAAACAGCACTATCTTCAACACAATCAGCTTAAGGTTTTGTTAATACTACCATCAACTGCAAATGTTCTATCCTAGAAGTACATTTATTTGCCATAGTTGAGACCAAACTTCCATCAAAATAACTTTTTGTTGTAGCTTTCACTTCTTCCCTATTTAACCAGCAAAGGAATTTTTCTACTATAAACTTAATTAGTTAGGTCCTTCGATTTGGGTACTGCTAGTCACCCTCCCAACCCATTACAAACAAAGTTTTAATAATAATTAACGTTGCAAATGGCACCTAGGCCTCGGTTTGAACGCCT